TTAACCAACTGAGCCACCCAGGCACCTCGAGTTTTCAGATTTCTTTATGTGTTCTGGATACTCTTCCTTTGTTGGGTTGGGCCTTACAAATATTTCTCCCATTGTGTAGCTTATCTTTTCATCCTCCCATGAAAGTCTTTCCATGGAGCAAAAGTTTTTCATTTTGATAGAATCCAATTTGTGGGTTTTTTTTCTTTTATGTATTGTGTTTTTGGTGTCAGGTCTACAAATTTGTGCTTAGTCCTGGATTCCATAGATATTTTCCTTTGTCTTTTTCTACAAGTTTTATAGTTTTGCATTTTACATTTAAATTTGTGATCCACTTTTATTTTTATTTATTTAGTAATTATTACTATTATTATTTTTTAAGTAATCTGTACACCCACTGTGGGGCTTGAACATATGACCCCGACTTCAAGAGTCACATGCTTCATTGACTGAGCCACCAGGTTCCGCCATGTTCCATTTTTAGTTAAGTTTTGTAGAAGATATGAGACTTACATGAAGGTTCATTTAGCTTAATATGGTGGATTGCATTGATTGATTTTTGAATATTGAATCAGTTTTGCATTGTTGGAATAACCCTCACTGTTCATGGAATATCATTCTTTTTATGTATTACTGGTTTCTATTTGCTAATATTTTCCTAAGGACTTTTGCAGCTATTTTCATGAAAAATACCAGTCTGTAGTTTTCTTTTTCTGTAGGGCTTTTGGTTTTGGTATCAGGATAATAATACTAGCTTCATAAAATGAATTGAACAATGTTCCCTCCTATTCTCTGGAGGAGATTCTGTAGAATTGGTGAGAATTCTTCTTTAAACATTTGGTAGGATTCGCAATGAAACCATCTGAGCCTGGAGATTAATTTTTTGGGAATTTTAAAATTAAGGATTCAGTTTCCTTAATGATAATAGGGGTATTCAAATGATGTATTTCATACTGAGTAAGTTGTAGTAGTTTGTATTTTCAAGACTCTGTTCTTATTTAAACTTTCTCTTTTGGTTAGCTTTTTATGACATAACTCTGGCAGGGGAGGAGGGAATTACTGCACATTATTGTCGGGTAGAGGTAGGAATCTGGAGTCTCCATTTGATTGCTGTTGTCACCCAAAGAGTGGTAGTCTTCTTGTTACTTCTAGACAAGAATGGGAGTTCTGTCTCCACTGATGGCCTGTGCTTACATAGTGGTGGGAGTGGCCTCCTTACTATTGGGTGATGGTTAAAGTCTTGACTCTCCTTTAGGCCTCTTCTGACAACATTATTGTGGAGGGGAAGAGGCACCTTATTACAGCCTGCTGAGGGTGGAAATCTAGGCTTTCTACTTGGCCTTTGTTGGTGTGGATGTGAGCAGAGCCACAGTTTTTTTTTGTTTTTTGTTTTTTGTTTTTTTGTGGGTGTTTGCCTCGAGTAGAGCAGTCATTGTCTAGAAGTTTTCTTTCTTACGAGGCTGCGTCTCTCCTGATCTTTTAGAGAGAGAGCTTTTTTGGGGGGAGGGGATGGCATGTTTTTGTCCATACTCCTTGCCATTTCCAGGTTGCTGTCTTCTTCAGGTACAAGTCTAGAATATATGAGGTAAAAAGAAAATCCAGGAAAGTCACTACTAGGTTGTTTCTCAAATCTTGAGGTCTCTAACCATTCTGCTGTATTCTCTCCACCTTTCAGTCTTCTTAAGCTATTTTACATATAATATGCAGAGTTTTTTCACTGGAGAAATAGGAAAAGTTTTCTACTCCATCTTCCTAGAAGCCAAAGTAAGAATTCATTTTGAATATGTTAATTTGAATGTCAGACATCAAGAGGAGATGTCAAGTAGCAGTGGATTTATGAGTCTAGAGTTCTGGTAATTCATGGAAGTTCTCTTCTCATGGCTTCCTTTTTCTCTGAGAAGTTAGGAAGTGATGCCAGTGAAAACGAGGACAACAGAGAAGGTGTTGGGAGAACAGAGGAACTTGTGAATGGTCTCCTAAGGGAGCAAGAGGGTGAATGGACTAGAAAAATACAGTATAATTTGCCAGTAGCATTACACATACACTTGAATGTTTGGCATTGAATTTAAAATGAAATAAAAATGGTGACATGGTTTTGTATTTATTTCCAGCCAAGTTCAGCCAGTTGGTGCAACAGGGAGTGGTCAGAGAGTTTGATTTTACTTGGGATGTAGCCTTGCCAAGTGAGTGGAACAAAGTGAGCAAGGGGATGGGGATTGGAGGTGTATGTAAGGGATGCATAATGCTGACTATAAAATTGAATCTGGGTAAAGAGGGAGGGCAAAGATATTGGGCAAGGGTGGGATGGTGGCCATGAGGGACTGAAAAGATGGTAGAATCAGAACTGTAGGTCCTGATAGATTCAGGATACCAGGGAATGAATTAGAAGGATAGGTGGTTATGTCAGCAAGTAGGAGGATGCATGAAATTGAGATTATGGAAGAGTTGTGATGATAGTGACCATGGTGTGACAGGTTAAGGTAAGGGGGAGGGCTGGTCATCAGAAGAGGGGGCAAGGATTTGAAATCAAGACAGGAGCACCTGGGTAGCCTGAACTCTAGAGCCAGAAGAATAGGAACTGTGACCGGGAGTTGGTGGACAAAGGTTAGTGGGTGATAGCTGATGATAGGAGAATCAAGGCTGGTGCATTTAGGGAGGGGAAAGGGAGAATAGTCTGGAAGGTTCCCCCGTCCCCACACACCCCATGCCCCACCCCAGAACAGTTTCCCCCCTTTTCCAAACTCAGTGGTGCAAGGATGTGGGTGAAAAAACAGCTATTAATTAAAAGGGCTTCAGGGAGAGTGTATCTTTAAGGGAGAGCCAGGTTTCAGTTATCACAACAAAGTGAAGGATAAAGGAAGGGATTTGCTGATACTTGACTGAATTCTAGAGTGCATAGTGGATGGGTTTCTAGACATGGAGATGGGTAGGAGGTGGGGAGAATTATAATCACTGCCCCCCTTATCAGCTTGTGTCCTTTAGATATACATGATAATTCTATATTAGTATATGTGCTGCCGAAGCGAGCACTATACATGATTATTATAAAAAGGGGCGCCTGGGTGGCTCAGTCGGTTAAGCGGCGGACTTCGGCTCGGGTCATGATCTCGCGGTCCGTGAGTTCGAGCCCTGCGTCGGGCTCTGTGCTGACAGCTCAGAGCCTGGAGCCTGTTTCGGATTCTGTGTCTCCCTCTCTCTGACCCTCCCCCATTCATGCTCTGTCTCTCTCTGTCTCAAAAATAAATAAACATTAAAAAAAAATTTTTTTTAAAGTGATGTATAGAAAAACGATTTTTTAAAAAAAGTCAAGGTTAGTTAGTTCGCTCCCAACTTAAAAAAATTATATTTTAAATCATATTTTCACCAACTTTGGCAGGAAAGTTAAATATACCAGAGAAATAATAATTTGTAAATGTCTGAATCATAACTTATTTGAAGTGACAAATGTAAAAATTATTTTAACAAATTCCTGTTAATAATTTTCTGAATAATGTACTCACTTATAGGCCTTGTTTCTTTCTTCTACTGGAAAGTTTCAAGGAATCAATTGTTGAAAATATTTAAGAGAGTGTTACTAATTTACTCACTTTTTTTTACCAATTTATTAAATTATTTTTTCTAAGAGATTCCATTCAGTCCAGTTGACACTAGCTATTTATTTTTTCTATACAAAATAGGTGTCATCTATGATACACAAACCAGAGTGTATTCATGTATTCAGGTATTACATGTTCGAACAGAGAGTGGTCTGTTAGATTCTTAATTTATGTGCATGCACATGTTTGTGAAAGCCCAGGAATTATTTGGTTTAATTTTACCCCTATAAAATATTTTACTATAATTTGATAGATGTTAAAATAGTATCTGTGTATTTTTAGATCTCACGTGACCATTCTTTTTTTTTTTTAATTTTTTTAACATTTATTTTATTACTGAGAGATAGAGACAGAGTATGAGCATGGGAGGGGCAGAGACAGGAGGAGACACACAATCTGAAACAGGCTGCAGGCTTTGAGCTGTCAGCACAGAGCCTGACGCAGGGCTCGAATGCACAAACCACCAGACCGTGACTTGAGCTGAAGTTGTACACTGAACCGACTGAGCCACCCAGGTGCCACCCCCCCCCCCATTTTTTTCTTTTTTACAAGTATAATGGATATTCTTGAAGTTCTTCAACAGATATTACATTAGCTTATAAATTAGAGACACTGTTAAATTTCAGCAGGGATTCTTCTAAACTTTTGCTGTGTAGAGTTACTTCTCTAAATAATTTAAACTACTTAAGTAAACCACACTGAGTGGGTAGGAGTACAGGGAAATAAGAGCTTGTATGTATTTGGTGTTATTCCCATACCTGGTTTGCCTTCCCCAATCGTGAAAAGTCTAGTTCACACTTAGTTTTCAAGTTTCCAATTTCCATTTCTTCCTTTTTAGGAGTTTTCCCTTAGTCCTTCCTAAGAATACTTAAAAAAAAAAAAATTGGGAGAGGAAGTGTTCTGGTTCTAGTATCATTTAGAAATGCTACCTACAGCTTGCTTATAGCTTCTCTTAAATTTGTTGTGTTGGAAATATTTAGGCTTACATTCCATATCTGGTTTGTGACCTACTTGAGCTAGGATCAGCCACCGATTTTTCTGTTCTGGGATGAGGTGCAGTCTAGGCACGGATTACTGAAGTCCAACCTCTTTGTGAAATGAAAACAGGGGATGCATAACAACTTTGTGTGGATTTCACCATTGTGACCTAAAGTCATCCCTCTCTATTCTTTTTCTTTCTGTGACAGGCTATGTAATGTAGTTGTTACTTTCTGGCTAAAGAGTTATTATCTGATCAATAATTGACTAAGAAGAAATGTGACTGATTGCTGGCTGTTGAGACTTATTAACAAATTCTCAAGAGAAAGAGGGATTTGGCAAAAAAATGCTTAGCAAAAAATTTAGGCAAATATGCTTCTAGCTTGATGGAGATAAAGTTGGAGATTTCAGTTTAATGTTTTTTATTCACCATTTTAGCTGTACCACAGACTGATTTGCTGAGCCAAACTGTACTCCAGCCAGATGTCTCTTCTCCAAATATGAGTGCTTTAACACATGAAAACCAAACCAAACTTTCTGTCTCCCAAATCATCGCCACTCTCCGTCCCACAACTAGTACAGAGAAAGGTGGAGGGGCATCTGTGGCTCCTCATCCCTCACCTACTACTTCCCTGTCTCAAGAGGAGGCAGATAACAATGAAGATCCCAGCATAGAGGAGGAGGATCTTCTTACGCTCAATAGTTCTCCATCTACCGCCAAAGACACTCTGGACAATGGAGACTATGGAGAACCAGACTATGACTGGACCACCAGCCCCAGGGACGATGAGTCCAGTGAAGCTCTGGAAGAAAACAGGAACTACATGGAAATTGAACAGTCAGTGAGATCTTTTAAGACCCCATCCTCAAATATTGAAGAGGAAGATAGCCATTTCTTTTTTCATCTTATTATTTTTGCTTTTTGTATTGCTGTTGTTTACATTACATATCACAACAAAAGGAAGGTAAGTTTGGGGTTTTCATCCCCTCTATTTGTCCTTTATTATCTCTGTTATATTTCTTACGAATATTTTTGATGATTCAGAATTTTTTTCTTTTTTAGTCAAGTTTAAATTGATGGTAAAATATCAAGATGTCTAATCAATATAAATCTCTGGTGTATTTTTACAAATTAGAATGCTTTACCTTGTATGCTTCTGAAAAAGAAGTCAAATTGTTTTTTAATGAACAAATCCAAAGCCCAGTGGTTTTTAAAAAAAAAAAACACTTAGGTCTTAAGTTAGCATTGCTACTTCAGTGGGAATACATGTGGAGAAAGGTTGTTAATTTAATACTTTTAATTAAGCTTTGAACTTAATGATATTTTAACAACTTTTTCCTTGTTATAAAGGTATTATATGTTTATTTTATTATTATCATTTTTAAAATATTTGTTTATTGTTGAGAGAGAGAGAGAGAGAGCAAGTGGGAGACGGGCAGAGAGTGAGGGAGACAGAATCCGAAGCAGGCTCCAGGCTCTGAGCTGTCAGCACAGAGCCCGATGTGGGGCTTGAACCCGTGAACTGTGAGATCATGACTTGAGCCAAAGTCAGAGGCTTAACTGACTGAGCCACCCAGGCACCTCTACATGTTTATTTTGAGTGCCAGTGATACTCTAACCCAGTGTTGAATGTTGGGCCAACAAGTGGGCTCCTGGGCTCCACTGTGATCTACTAACTCATCTCTGCAGATAGAACCCAGGAATCAGTCTTCAGCAAGCACTCTGTACATAAAATTTGAGAAGCACTGTTTAACTTTGTTTACAAGATGAAAAATACAGTCCTTTTGTTGTTATTTTATTTTCCATATTTAGGAAACTAGGAGAGAGGGAGAGTGCACTTGTTATACATATTTTTAGCATATCCTCCACTTTGTTTTTTCCACATCTAATTTATTTTGTTCTTTTCCAGATTTTCCTTCTGGTTCAGAGTAGGAAATGGCGTGATGGTCTTTGTTCCAAAACAGTGGAATATCATCGTCTAGACCAGAATGTTAATGAGGCAATGCCTTCGCTGAAGATTACCAATGATTATATTTTTTAAAGCACTGTGATTTGAGTTTGCTTATTATGTAATTTTATTTGCTTGACTTTTTTATATAATATTGTGCAGATGTTTGCCATAGGCAGTTGGTACTTAAATGAGAGGTGGGTCTCTCTTTATTTTGCCTTGGTGCTTTCGAAATGAAATGTCACAAACAAGGAGTATATAATTTTTTATCTACACATTTAGAGGTAAATTCAATCAGGTGTCCAGAATGTGGAGCTAAGCATTATTATTAGTTTTGTTTTAGATTTCTTTATTGTTCTTCTTCTGGAAGTGTTAGTAATACTAGTTTTACAAGATCCCAACCTTGTAACTAAATCCTAACATATCTGGTACTGCTGGCTCCGATTCTCTTTCTGCCATCCAAATACTGTTTTATAAGCACACATTTTGTGATCCCAAACTGTTAATGTACAAGGATGCGTATAATAGCGCTTGGCATATAAGTAACATTTTTTCTTCCAGGAAAATCGCTTTGGATATTTTTGGATGATTTAAACATAACTTAAGATAATGATAATGCTCAATCTGACCACAGTTTTAGGTAACATTAATAAATGTCTCTAGAAATTCTGGCAATAGAGAGACTCTGCAGTTTGCAGTGGATATAGATAAAATGTTATAGAGATACCATATTTTGGCTTAAATTACTGAATTAAATTTAGAGGTAGAAATTGTGGCAAAATATTAAAAACACATACAGTTGCTTTCAGTCAGCAATTGATTGTAGCACGGGTTCCTCCAAGCTTCCAAGCAAGGAGCAGAGTTTAAAATTCTATCAGATTTTTTCATGTTGTCTATTACTTTATAGTAAGTTTGAATAAATTTTAGGGGTCATTATCACTTAAGTAATTCTGTATCTAGGCCTTTCAAATTAAAATTATACCTGAATGAAGTTGTTTGTATACATAGAGGGTATATGTGTGCACTGACTTTTTCTCCCCCTGTACTTGTTTTATTTTCTTCTGTTTTGTTTTTCACAGCAACTGGAAATTATTTACTGTAATTTGTTTTACCCTGTCTTTCTATAATAAAGAATTGGTCAATATGTACATATGTGATTTGAACCATGGTTGACTTACAAGTGTCACTGCAACTTTGTAGAAAACATAACCCCTAATATATGTTAAACACCCACTCAGAAAGTCTGGGTGAGCCAGTGGGCATGAGCTTTGTGTAAAGATGGAAGAAGCGGGGCAGTCCACCATTTCTTTCAGGTGGACAATTTACTGTCCTGATAAGGAAGGGCAGCACAATGGAAATATACCTGAACTGTTTTATGGCAGTAATTTTTCATATCTGAAATTGTATTATTTAATATTTTGAATAAGATTTTAAAAATAAATGGCAAAAATATAAATCTATGATTTTATAAGTGTGTTTCATTTTAGTGATGGCATGATGGAGCCCTTCATATGGGTGGTGACAGAGGGGTAGTGCTTTGTTTGGGAGGAAGCTAGCTTGGTTTTGTTCCTTTTAGTAGTAGTACTCTATGAATTCCCCTTAGATTTCTAAATCCTACTTTAGGCCCAATATTCTGTTGAGTAGTGAAGATTTTTGAAAATGTGGTAAAGTAGGATTGCAAAGAAAAGTAAAGCAGCTAAATCAGTGTGTACTTTCTGGCATCCTGGCCTTCCTGTTTCCCTGTCGAAGGCTCCCCTATCAGGAGGCTCATCCTCCCTTAGTGGATCTAGCGTTCTTGTGCTCTTCCTCTTAGCACAGTCTCTGCGTTCTAAGCCCCAGTGTGCTGCAGTCAAGTAGTCTTTGATGTTTGGAGCGTTGCATCATACATCGATTAAAAATGCTGCCAGTAGGATGCCTGGCGGGTTCAGCTGGTAGAGCACTCGACTCTTGATCTTAGGGTTGTGAATTTGAGTCCCACGTGAAGATTACTTTAAAAACATAAAAAATCTTAAAAAAGAAAATGCTGTCCAAGTCTTAGGCACCTGAGCTGCTGGGCTTTAAATATGTATATAATTCAGACATACAGGTGTATGTTACAACTTTTAAGTGAATTTGATCTCCTCTAGGGTTTTGTGTCTTGCTCGTTACCTAACAAATCATGAACATTTTCCATATCATTAATATTCTTTAAAAACCTCTAGTAGCTATATAATTTAGTTAGCTCTTTTCCTGTTTCGATGGTTTCCAATTTTTGATTCAGAAATAATGTGATGAACTTTACTGTATTGGAATCAATTTGTTGGATTGTATGAGGCAAAAGAGGCACAAATAGAACTGGATGGTGCAAACAAGACCCACATTTGAGTCTGAAAGCACCAGAATAGCCTACTTACGTGTGCTGTCTGCTCTCTTCTCTCCACATCACAGTCTGGGCAGACTAGGTGCTCTGCGCCGAATGTTGGAAATAATAGCATAATAGGTTACCCTTTAGCTTCTGTTTCTGTGTCTTACCTGAAAAGGAATGTTTTGAAATTTGTGAGACAGATGGAAACAGACCAGACGTTTTGAATTTGTGCAGGCAGGCATGTCGTAACTGGGATTTTGATTTTTTTAAATGTTATCATTTTCTATTTTATTTTATTAAAAAAAATTTTTTTTAATGTTTATTTATTATTGAGAGAGAGACAGAGCATGAGTGGGGGAGGAACAGAGAGAGAAAGGGAGACACAGAATCCGAAGCAGGCTCCAGGCTCTGAGCTGTCAGCACAGAGCCCGATGCGTGGCTCGAACCCATGAACCGTGAGATCATGACCTGAGCTGAAGTCAGACGCTCAACTGACTGAGCCACCCAGGCGCCCCTTTATCATTTTTTAAATATTTATTTTGAGAGAGAGAGCATGAGCTGGGGAAGGTCACAGGGAGGGAGGGAGAGAGAGAATCCCAAGCAGGCTCCACACCGTCGGTGCAGAGCCTGACATGGGGCCTGGTTCCACAAACCATGAGCTTGTGGCCTGAACTGAAGTCAAGAGCTGGATGGATGCTTAACCGACTGAGCCACCCAAGGCACCCCGGGGATTTGATTTTAGATGTGATGTCACGTGGGTGAGTGCAGTCTCTTGTAGAAAGTGTGCAGAGGTGGCTCTCTCTATAGTTTACCCCAGAATGGAAGCTTGAAAACAGAGGACTGGCTGTTACTCATCTCTGGCTGCATATTCAGCACTGCCTGTCTCCTACTAGGCCCCTGGAAATTGTACAGTGACGTCTTTGTGAAATTAGATCAAGAGAAAATCCAGTCGAATCAGGCTCAGCTCTGGTGCATGTAGTTGGCATACGGGCTAATATTGACATCCGGTACCCAGAACTCCATGCAGTGGGGGAGAACCAAGATGTAGTGTGTCCACTTTGTTGGACCGGCCACATTTCTACTTGGAGCTAAAGTCCACATCTAATTGTGTGAGATCTCAGCCCTCCCTGCAAATCCCAGGTTCTGATCAGAGTAGCTGCTGCCCATGGAAGCAAAGGGGAGGGAGAATGTTACTGGGATAGTGCAGTTGCTCACAGTGTCCAGGTCTTTCTCTCTCTCTGGCTGACTTTGCCCTTTGCCCTCTCAACCTGGTCTGCTGGTGCAACAGTTTGCCTCCCTTCTGGGCCCAGCGGTGAGCAGTTCCATCCTTCCCAGCAGAAGTACAAGAGGTTGGAAGGATTCTGAGGGCTAGGTGTCTTCCAAGGGAATGGAAAAGGAGGCTGTCCCGAGGTGTGAAGTCCAGTCTGTGAACAGGATTCTGTTCACCTGTGGGTTTATAGTTACTTTTTTAAAATTTAAATTCAAGTTAGTTAACCAAGAGTGTAGTATTGGTTTCAGGAGTGGAACCCAGGGATTCATCACTTCCATGTAACACCCAGTGCTCATGGTCTCCTGGGTTTTTAATTTCGACGTGAGGAAGTTGCCGGGATAGATTCTGGAAATGGACCTGGGGTCATTTTTGACCTCCACCCCCCATCTCAATAGCCCTGAGGTAGTGACCTGCTGTCTGGATGATGTGCCTCAGGGAGCCTGATTCTGGAGTAGTAGGCAGCACTTCTACCCCGTAAGCTCCAAGTCCACCTTTCTTCCAGCTCCCTCCTAAAGAGCCCCAGACCCCTCTGCCACTATTGATGAAGCTCCAGGTTTAAAATTCCTGCTCCTTAGGTGGCGTTTCTCCACCTGACACCCTAATATCTTTGCTTTAAAACCCTATGCTTCTTTTTCTCACAGCCCCCAAGCTGCTTCATTTCTCTGCTGGGTGATGACGGCATGTTCTGGGAATCCTTTACTTCCTGCATATTCTTCTCATAGGGTCCTTTGTGCTTTTGTGCCAGGCCGCCCTTTGGCATATGGGCTGGACAGCACTCCCATGTGGGACCCTTCGAAAGGGTCTATCCCTGGTGGGCCCTGGAGTCAGACTGGTCTGGGTTGAATTAACAGTCTGGGCCTGACCTCTCTGCTGTGTCCTCCCTATTTTGTAGCCTCGAGGGAGACGCCAAACACATTTCTTGATACATTTGGATGTGAGAAACGGTGTGGGGTCTTGAGAGCTAAGTTGAATGCCCTAGACTTTGCCGGGGCTAAGATGTCCTGGCCCATGTTGCACCTACCTGCCTTTCTAGGAGGACCTGGGGAGAAATGGAAGAAGGGAAAGAGGAGTGTAGGATGAGGTCAAGTCTAGATGACCTTGGTCTGAGCTCTTTGTGTTTATATCAACCTCCTACCTTGTAAAATAGACAGTTGAGTAGCTCACAGGTTTGTCAGGAAGAGAAACTGGATTTATGTTTGAGAAAGGAATTTGTGTAGAGGGAGGAGTTTCCAACATGTCAACCCCAAAAGAGCCAGTTCAAGGCTTGGGCCCATCAAGGAACAAGAGCTTGATGGAGCTGCTCAGGAGTTGCCCACAGTCCTGGGACTGCCTTCCCAGCTCCCTTGAGGCATGCAGCTTATCAGAGCTGGGTATACCCCAAATCATCCAGGCATGTTCAGTTTGCTAGGTGACATTTGGTGCTTCCTTGGAGTTTCCCAACCCCATTCCCTGTTCCCTATCCTCATCCTTTTCCTGAATCAAGGCCAAAGGGTCCTTCTCACCATGCTCTGGCTGTTCCCAAGAACTTTTGCTTAGAGGCAGTGGGACCCAGGACCCCGGAGAGAACTACTCTTAGGCCACTTAGTATGCCTGAGCTAAGGGGGCTTGATCCTCCCCCGGGGGAGCAAGGACAGAGGCAGGGCTTGGGTGCCAAGGTTTGCTGTCAGGCGTCCACATAATGCCATTACCAGAGCATTGTGTTAAAAGCAAAATACCTGGGCTCTTCTCACGGGGTCCCTGTGCTGCCCCCTGGGGATGGCAGTAGGTCTAGACAGACACCGTCTCTGTACCCATGGTGCTCACTGTCAGAGAAGAGAAGAATTAAGAAATTGCAGTAAAGTATTACACACCAAAAACTGGATTTCACTTGTGTTTCTTCACTTTAGACTTAGCACTGTAATAGTAGCCTGGTGGGCCAGGCACTCTTCGTTCTGTGTGTGCACACCAGCCCAATAAGGTACTTACTGTTATTACCCCCATTTCACAGATAAGGAAACAGAAGCCTACAGACTTAAGTGACTTGCCTGAGGTCCTGTAGCTGATAAGGGAGAGCTGGGATTTGAATTTAGATAAAGTCACACTCCAGACTTCTTGTTCTTTATCACTAATTTGCCTGTTGTTAGAGAAAAACAGCTACAGAGAAGTAAGAAGAAAAAGTATCCAGAGTTTCTGTCCCCTTAGGCCCTAAACATTTAGGTGTATTCTCTTTTTCTTTCATTTAAAATTGCTTCTTTTATGAATATAACAGAATATACCACAGGAAAATGCATCAGGCAGATGTGCAGCTTAACCAATTATTACAAAGCAAATGCTTGTGTAGCTAATCGCCCAGACAGAGAAATAAACCTTTGCCAGCTCGCACGCTCCCCTTCCTCATAACTATCCTTTTCCTGTCCCCATAGGGAACTATTATTTTGACCTTTGTGGCAGTCACTACCTTGCTTTTCTTTTTGGATTCATCAGCTAAGTACATATGCCTTAACACCATAATTTAGGCAGTTTTGGATTTTTATATAATTGGAATCCCATAG